GTTTGGCAGCCAGTGGAATTGTGAGTGACAGGTCCTGCCGTGCATGGGCTCCAGAATGTGCAAAGGCTTGGAGTGAAGACTCAGCTGATTCAGGGACCAGCAGGGGTCCATTTTATGAAAATAGGAAATGGAAACAGTGGGACAGGAGTCAAGTGCAGAGGAGCTTTGTGACCACTTGGGTTTCTGTTCTGCTGGTGATGGGGTCATTGGGGTCACGGGAGCAGTAGAGCAGGAGACCTGTCCCAGGTCTCATTAGACTCCCTGTGGCTGCAGCCTGATGCACAGGATGGGTGTGAGGACGGAGGTAGGTAGCCCAGGACGGAGGCTGCTGTGATAGTGCTGGTGAGTGTGAGGGTACCTGGAGCACAGTGGTGCCTGTGGGTGTGGAAGACGCAGTTGCGTATGGATCAGGGTTGTAGGTGTTGCCACCTGGATTTTCTAATTTTTAGGATTGGAGAGAGAGGTAAGAATCACAGAGGATGTGAAGGTTGGATTTAGCACCTGAAGATATGAAAGCACCAGCAAATGAGGAGAAATTCATAGTCAGAAAAGCAGTGTTCATGGGGAATGTAAAATTTTATATTTCCCTGTTAAGTTATGAGATATTTCAGAGACCAGTCAATGACCATCTTGAACTCTGAGGAGTTCAACATGAAGACTACTTAAGAAATAACCATCTGCACCAGGGAGGAGTTGAAGGTCACCTACTTTTATTGGAGGTAGAAGAGTAATTCAAAAAAGGTTAGACGTTGGCTAGTGTATATTTACTTCTTCTTTTTTTAAATATATTTTGTTGATTTTTTACAGAGAGGAAAGTAGAGGGATAGAAAGTTAGAAACATCCATCAGCTGCCTCCTGCACACTCCCTACTGGGGATGTTCCTTGCAACCAAGGTACATGCCCTTGACTGGAATCGACGCTGGGACCCTTGAGTCAAACCGGTTAGGGCCATATTTACTTCTTAAACACTCACCCAGATTTCTTGTGACCCTTTGTGTAGCCTGGTATGTTGCACCCAGTTTGGTTGATTTGCTTATGGGCATGAGTGGGCATCTGTGAGACTCACTGGGCGTGGGGTAGAGGGCCATAGGCTGTGAGTGGAGAAGGACATCAAGTGCAGCAGCAGTAGAGCTGGGCTCTGGATCGGGCCATATTTACTTCTTAAACACTCACCCAGATTTCTTGTGACCCTTTGTGTAGCCTGGTATGTTGCACCCAGTTTGGTTGATTTGCTTATGGGCATGAGTGGGCATCTGTGAGACTCACTGGGCGTGGGGTAGAGGGCCATAGGCTGTGAGTGGAGAAGGACATCAAGTGCAGCAGCAGTAGAGGTGGGCTCTGGATCACTGAGATCTGATGCCGTTCTCAATAGGTGAGGTCGAAGGAAAAAGCAAGTTGGGAGGGAGGCCTTCATAGCAGAACTGAAGGCTTTGTCTTGGGTTGGGGCACTCAGAGTTAGGTCAGTGCAGTGGGGCCTTGACTTACGAGTTTAATTCGTTCCCAGACCGAGTTTGTTAAGGAGCTCGTTAACTCAAATTACTCTATCAACCAATGCAAAATATCGGTAGAGAGACAGGTGGTATCTCAAAAAACTCGTTAGTTGGGACACTGGTAAATCAAGACCCCAGTGTACTTGATACTGTTTATACTTGCCATGCAGTCCCTGGAACACACATGCTGAGTAATGATTAAGTCCAAGGAGATGTCTATGGGAGCTGGGGCTACAGGACTGCACGTGTGAGAAAGGTGTGGGAGGAGGAGTGATGGGCCCTTGGAGAGGGAGTGTGAATTCATGGCCACAGATCCCTGATTTTAAAATAGAAGGAATGAAGGTTGAGTCCATTTCTGCTGTTAACTGGGGAATTTTAGGGTAATTCCTGAAAAGACGGGTGTTGTGGCACTACATGCCAGTTCCAGAAATTAGGTGTCATATAGGTGCACACCTGCCTGTTGTTGTTGGGCTGATACAGTGATCATTGGGAATGGGATAGCAGACATCAGTGTCACCTGGGCTGGAAAATCTCTACTGGCTTGGGGAAGGGAGAAGGGTAAGAGAGAAATACTTTACAGGGGGGGTGAGTTAGAATGTTGAAATGAGGGTGATTAGAAAATATCCCCTCCTCTTCATGGTGAATATGTTTTGCCTTTAAAGTTTTGACTCTGGGAATGAAGCTGTATGGGAGAAGTGGGATACAAAGAATTATGTGAAACAGGTAGAGCAAAGTGTTGGCCTCAGCACCCTAGGACTGGAATCGAACGGGTGACGAGTGATGCCATGTTTTTCAGGGACTTGGAGGGAGAATTTGTTGTACAAGAAGGATATTGACCCACAAGAGCAGTGTCCAATCACTCACATCTCTATTTATGGCCAACATTTATCTGTCCCCTGTGTTGGTGACACCCATTGTGTTGACCCTAAATGTGAGGCCCTGAGGTCAGGTATTCCTGAGGTGATGCCCTTTCTTTCTTTATTCTCAAAACATAGCTTTCTCTCTCCCATAGCCAGACCACGGTTTCTGCTAATTTCCACCACTGTCTTGTCAAATGTGCTGTGGCTGCCGGTGCTGAGCTGTGTGGAGAGCCCTGACCAATGGACTGCACGAACATCCCTGACACCCATTGCCTCAAAATGTGCAGAAAGTGTATGGAAAGTGGGAGTCTTACAGGCAGCTTAATGGGTCCCACCTTCCTCTTCCTCTCCCTAGGAGGGTGACAATATGCACATTCATTCACTTCTTTCCCCTTCCTCTAGGGAAAGGTGCTTTATGGCAGCCTCTGCCAGGTTATGTTCTTCACTTACGTGAACCTTGGGCTTTTCTTTTAAAACCCTTGTTCAACTGTTGTTTGTAATGTTACCTTAGCTGAGTACTGTTGTGGGCCAAATTGCTCTGAGCCAGAGCTGGCTGCTCTCCTCCGTTGTCTTTAATTAATACTTGGAATAGTTAGGGTTTATGCATTGGTACAGTAGAAGATCAGGAAGAAACCTGGTTTCCCCATAGGGTGAACATGCAAGATGGTCTCAGAGGCGTTTTGGCCATGCTGAATGACAACTGGGTGAAGGTATCACATAATGGTGGTGGTCAGATAATACCAGGAACCAGCTAATTTCCATCTGTGTTTAGGGAAAGGTGCCACTGGCTGCCCCCCATTTCTACCTTCTCTTTCCTATACTTGACACTTTGCTGACTTGGATTTCATCTGTGACTTCCTGGGTTATGGCTACCTTCACCTTTGTCACCATTTTGCATCACCTGCCCCTCTGCACTGCACCCTGTGCAGTATTCTCCTACGTGGACCTGCACATGTGTGATAGGTGCACATACAGGCTTACGTAGTCCTCAAAGACCTGCTACTTGCTTATTGAATTTTACTTGCAAGAAGACATAAGCATCCTTCTGCACAGCTTGCCCCTGTCACCAGCAGACCAGCCCTGCTCAGCACTGTTAGCAGAGGCCTGAGCTGGAAATCCATCTTCTTTTCCACCTGGTCCTTGCCATGTGTGTGTCATGGTTCTGGTGAGGTCTTCCCTGTTTTGTGACCTTCAGAGGCCCACCCCTTCACAACAGCTTCTTACTAATTCTTCCTGCACATCTCTTGTTTTCAGACAATTTCATACAACCCAAATATTATGTGCAAAACATTTTCACAATGGAATTTCCCGTCACCATAGTCAACATTCAGTTTCTGCTCATTTCTCTCTTTTCAGGTTGCTGGCATAAAACAGATGATGGGGAGGCCTGTTCTGAGCAGAGTGAATGTGTACAAGGAGAGTCACAGGTCAGGGCTTCTGAGACAGAGCCAGCAACCCAGAGGACCCTTCGGTGTAAGTGGTGTTTCTCAGTGTTCAAAGATATTCTGCACCTGACTGAGTCACAAGCAGCAGACCTTGAGCAGAAAGCCTTCTTCAGGGATGCATGTGTGAGAGACCTCTATTTCAGTGCAAACCTGCATCTGCAACAGAGAGATGGCCCTGGAGAGAAGCCCTGGAAAGTAGCTGTGGATAGGGCCTCGTTTGTGACCAGGTGCAGCTTCCAATCTTGGGTGCCTTCAAGGAATGGAAGGGTTGGGAAAGTCTCCCCAGGCATTTCAGGGCTTCTCCAGCAGCAGGCCCCTCTCAACACTTGGGAGCCACACAGTGGAAGTGAGATTTCACGGGAATTTGTGAGTGGAAAAAGTCATTATAGTTGGGGTGGACA